CTCATTTTTTTTTGAAAAAACAATTAGTTCATATCATACATGAAAAATTTTTATCAGCGTTTTATGTATTTCATGATGATACAGAAATTTATTCAGGCTGAGAATGTCATATTTAGATCATCTGGTTCATGCAAGCTTCGTAATCGTCAGTACATATGTTCGAATCTACTGGTCTACATTTATTTTCGATAGGTCCCGAGGGCTCTGGTATTCGTAAGTATATATGTTCGAGCATACTGTTCTGCAATTATATACGATCAGTGTCAACTGCTCGAAAATAAGTGGTGGTAAAAACTTTTTGAAAATTATCAAAAATTTGAGTGGTCGAAATTTCGATTGCTCGGAACCTTGCAAAACATCGACCACTCGATATTTTGCAACTTTCGTTTCACTTAGAACCCATCAAGAAAGGTCGTTCGATGGGTATTGGAATAGTCCATCGGAACCAATCGAACCAAACACAAAAAAGGAGTCGAAAATCATTAATAGTGTGGTCATCAAGTACCGATCGGAATTGATATTTCGATCCCTCGAAATGGAAGATTATAAACTGCAAAATATTTGGAAAAGCAATCCATCGCAGACCCCTGGCCCCATCGGAAAATGGCAATCCTAGGGGTCGATTTGGAATTCCGATGCCAATCGAAAGCTTAAATCGACGCGTCGAAAAGCCTATCGAATGGTTGGTTGGGTAGTCAACTACAAAATTCGTTTATAAACTAGGTAGAAATGTCTTGAATAATATAAAAAAGGTTTCATTGCTTCTGTTCAATCATATTCTATTTATGAATCTTCCACTGTCTTCCAATATTCTTCCCAACCAACTCCCTCATGAGACCATTGTTTTTTATCAGCTGGAAAGAGAGCATCCATTACCATTTGTGCTATTTTTAAATAGGACATTTTATCTTTCTCTTGTGCACTATCAAATTTTTCAGCATAGACCAATGCCCTTATCGTCTTCACTACATGCGTATCTCGATGTGTTAAACATTTATCAATGAGAGGTAACCATGGATTTTGCACATCTGAATATGAATGTTCTTTCGATGATTGATATTCATTGAGTAAATAATTCACATTTAACTTTGGTCGTCCACGTGCAACATAGTAGAGAAGATCAATTGCAAATTTAGCTTTTAAGAATTTAAATTGATTTTCTGTCTTTTTCAATGAATGAACGAATATATCTATGAATAAACCACTTGTTGTTGCATGCATTAGGAAGAAATCGAGACGAAGTGCTTTTTTCGGTCGTATGACAGCTGTATTCACCAAAACACTAGCTCGTCTAAGATCATCTAAATCACATTTCCACATTTGAGCATATTCTGCAATCAACGGACCACTACCTCGTTCTAATAATTTATCCACTTTAGTTGCTTCATCATTGAAAAAGACCTTGTCGTCAAAACGTTGATCTTTGATAATCAATTCAATAATCTCGAAGGCTGTTTTATTGCCATCTTTATTTTGGTCATAATTCAAATGTTTTAAGACATCTTTGACATTGACTCGATCAACGGCTGCCATTGCTAACCCTTCAACTGCCATTATTTTCACTTGAAATTCCAAAGCATATCCAAGATGAATAAATGGATGATAGGCACCATTGAATACAAGATCGAGATAATCTTTGTTGAATAAATAATCTTCAATTAAATCTTCAACATTTCCATGGTATTTCTCACTTTCCAATTCTTTTTTAAAGAATTCTAAATAATTACCGTAATAATTTTCATCACCTAAACATTTGTTCACATCAAAGTCTTTATTATCGTGAAGTGGACGTATGGATTGTTGAATTTGTTTCTGTTGTTCATAGATATATTCTAATGTGTGAGATGAAGCACCAAGACCTAATGCAGCTAGAAGATAATGCGTAGCATGATTGTGAAAGTGATGTTCACTATTAAAGAAGATATGATAATGTTCGTGATTATGTTGAAGAAGACGAGAACAGGTTTCGATTGTTTCAGGAGTAATTCCAGGTAAGTGATAGATATATGGATTTTTTATAAATGATTCCGATGAAATAGCATACACATTTGTTGTCTTGGAAGAGTAGTTGCTTGAAAAATTAATACGAGGACAGATGTGAAAAATGGACCACACACTATGGACTATAGAAATATATATACAAGCAAAGATGCTTATCTTCTTCATATCTTTTTGCAGTGCGGACGTATAAATCACAAATTATGCGCCTTCTCTCTTCTTCGTATTTTTCTACCGTTTAAGCCCACAAAAGTATAAAGAAAATGTCAAATTTATTTTTTTCTTCGTTCTATATTCTTTATCTAGAGGAACATCTCTGCTGCTGTTCGATAGCAAATAAGACGATTGCATGACCTTAAAGGATTTGAATAAAAAAAAATGAAACAAAAACAAACTTTATTTTTGTTTGACGACTTCGTACAGTTTCGATTGTTTGAAATATTATAGCAAAAAACCGTTAAGTTTTTTATTTCACTTTTCAGAAGCATTTTCAAGTTCTTCATAAAACCGAGAGTTTTCATAAGATTTTCGCGTTCAGTAGAAGAAACAGCTTTTTATAAAAAGCTTCTGAAAACGGACTTTTGAAAATAAAGACTGTAGGTCCCGTACTATTCAAAATAACAGAGTTAGAATCTATATATGTTCTCGAATAATTTACTCTCTAAGAAAAAGTCATTTTATCAAGGACATGAAATCGAAGTGTACAATTCTGGATACTTAGACTTATCATTGGATTTAGACGAAATAGATAGAATGAAAAATTATTATTAATACACATTTTATTCGTGACAATCGAATGACATCATTTTTTAAAATGAAAAATAAGACCTGGAAAGAAAACAATTATTTGTATTTTGCAAAGGATTCACTTATATTTGCTTTTGAGATATTCTACGATTACCATTAATCGCATATATAGGTCATACAGTGAGCTCCAAAATTATTCAACAACATGTAATTTGGATTTTTTTTCATAGCCTTAAGTGCTGAAAAGAATTCAAATAGTGGTTTGAATAGAGAATATTGTTGCCAACAAGAATTCGAAAAATGATAACTATCATGAATTTTCCCGAAATAGGGTTTCTGGAAAACTAAAACCTTGGTTTTTCAACATCCAGAAGTCGCAACAGAAAGCTTGTTTTAACAGTTTAGAATTATAGAACAGCTAATTCTCTACAAAACGAGACGTCTCCGAGCTTTCTATGATCTCCGTTTCAAAAGTTATAAGCGTTGCAAAAATTGAAAAAAGTGAAATTTATGAGACAGCGACTAAAAATTGCATTTTATCGATTTTTGCGATCCTTATAACTTTTGATGGAGAGGTCGTAGAAAGCTTGGAGATATCTTATTTTGTAGAGAATTGGCTGTTATATAATTCTAGACTGTTAAAACAAGCGTTCTATTGCGGCTTCTGAATGTTGAACAACCAGGGTTTTAGTTTTCCAGAAACTCTATTTTGCGAAAATTTATGATAGTTATCATTTTCTCGAATTCTAGTTGACAACAATATTCTCTGTTCAAATCACTATTTGAATTCTTTCTAACACTTACGGCTACGAAAAAAAAAATCCAAATTACACCTTGTTGAATAATTTTGGAACCCACTGTATATTTCCCTAATCGAATCATTCTTTTTTCGCAAGTGAATATCTGTCAGATATTTTAGATTAAATCAAATAATTTTTCAATCATAAAACGATGCAATCCTCCTGGCTAGAGTATGGGTATGGATAGGATATGGCTCTGACTTTAGCTGTCATATTCATCTCAATAGACATCTACACTCACGTTTTCTCGAAATGATAAAGTTATGCCTATCCGTTATCAAATATCAACAATGTATTGTAAATGCTGTGAATTGATTCGCATAAAAAAAGCCAAGGCGAAATATTTTGTTTTATGGTATAGTACATGCTTCTAAGAATATCAACCAAGAAAAAATGCATTATACTTTAAAAATTGAAATTATCTGATGAAAAACAAGAAAATCTAAAGCATCCAATGAAAAAATGGAAGTTTAATCGTTGTCGGACAGTTGATTATAATAACACCAGATGCAAAAATAATGGTACAAATGTTGAATAATTTGTCGTGTGATTTCATTAAGCTATAAGCTCGAATTTGATTTGATTGAATCTAGTAAAATTTCAGCTTCAAGATTCATATAAAACAAATTTTTGATCGCTTGATAATTAGAGAGAAAAAGTCGAAAGATTGAAATCGTCTAAGTGATAATCTCGCATTTGAGAAAATCAATCAAGCTATCTTGTAGATCAGTTAACAGCGAAGATAATCCATCGTTTCGGAATAATGACAAGCTGATATGGTGTTAAGCTTCCGCTGGAATCTTCACTGTCATGTCAAATAGCGGTAGAAAGGGGGGTTGGGTGTTTCACCTCCTCTACACTCATATCTCATACGCCACGTGATACATCAGGAAACATAGAAATCGTTGATTCCTCTGTCAGATCTATGATGAATCCTTTTCAACACTGCAATAGATGTAATGAATAAAGTCTCCTTAATTCATTGTTTTTTCTCGCTTGGTAATTGTCAAGTATGGCAGCACGATCCTGTGAGGAGAAATAAAAAGAATGGAAGAACCGTTCAGTTAGATGTCGCTGTCGTTCGTTTATAATTTTGTAATAAATTAGCTATATGGAAAGATGATTTTTTTATTGCTTATTTCGTGTCTTTATTGAGTTTGATAGATTTAACAATTTTCCTCGTGTAATTTGTTTGTTGTTCACCAATCAATCGATGCCCTGTTATGATGAATCATCGAATAGGCAATAGTATTACTTACTCTTTCTCGTATATTAGATCAAACAAACGCTAAATATGACTCAGTCGAGAACATGACCATGGTGTGAATAAAAAAGCATATCGAATAAAAGAACAAAAAGAAAATGATGATGGAGGCGTTACCTCAATAACATAGTATAAAATACAGAGTGTTTTATTGAGGCAACTGCAAGAAGGAGTCGTTTATACTTCTAAAAATGTCTCGTGACTTTCGTGAAGCATTTTTGAATTATGTTCTCAAGAATAGTCATTCAGGTGATGCTAGCAGTGTCATCAATACCATTGACGAGTACTGTTGGACTCAACAAGCACTCATGAATATTGGCGATGGAAAAGGAAAAATTCTTGATGCGGCTCTACAATCTAGACAACCAAAAACGGTTCTTGAACTCGGTAGATTCTCATTGAAACATATCCTTACAATTTCTTTTTTTGTTCTTATAAAAGGTACTTTTCTTGGCTATAGTTCATTGCGCATGGCTTCTCAATTACCTGAAGATACATTAATTGTCACCATCGAAGTAAATCCTGAATCAGCAGCTACTGCTCGACGTATTCATGAACATGCTGGTGTTGAAAATCGCATACAAATTGTTCTTGATCAAACTGACCGTGCGATTCCTCGTTTGAGTAAACAATTCAATGTTGATTCATTTGATTTTATCTTTATTGATCATCATAAAGAGGCCTACTTAAGTGATTTTAAACTACTTGAAAATGTCGGTTTGATCAAACGTGGTACCATGATTGTTGCTGACAATATTATCTATCCCGGTGCACCTGACTATGCAAACTATGTTCGAAATAATCCACATTATACATCGACATTTCATGAATCGACTCTCGAATATGACAAGAATATTCGTGATGGTGTAGAAGTTTCGATTCGACAATAAAATATTAAGAATACACGATTGCGAAGAAGTTTCGGTCATTTTTGTTTTTTAGTGTGCTTTTCGAATACATGTCAAACATATTTTCATATTCTTTTCGAATTATTTGATAGGTAAATTATCAATCGAACGTGGCATCCCACTCCATCGCTTTTTCCTCTTTTGCTTTCATGAAAAAGTAGGTTGTTGGTGAAAGCATCCATGAGTATATGGATTAATGTTATCATGTCATAAAAAAAGACCACATAATACAAACTGACATGTTTACCAGTCGAATTGTATAGCTAAGGAGGCTAAAGTATATGATATTAGTGATCAATTTCGGAGATGTTATATATCTCTAATTGGAACCCAGTTCCTATAGCTCTCTAACGGAGGTAAAGTCGCTCAATTATATTTCAGATGTGAACTAGTCATTCTCTCATGATCTTAGCAGGTTTTTCTAATCTAGATCGACATGTAAAGTCATAATATTGAGCTCACTTTTCTTGATCGTTTTTGAGGATCCTAGAAGAGCTTGTGATGTGAATCTAATAATGGATAGCTAGCTCGTAGCGTAATACATGCATCAAAGTGAGAAGAAATTCCAAAGCTGGCTAGACCTATCCTAGAATTCTGTCAAATCCGATAGGATTTATTCGGCAAGATAGCTTCCAAAAGTATGATGTGATAAGTTGAAGATTTCTTCTTGTCATATATCGATAATATTTTTCATGTCGCATCCGACAATATCTAATCCTCCAACAGTGCTGAGCTTACTACAGATTCCGTGGTATACTACTATACTATCTTACGTGCTTGATTTACTGTCAAAATGAAGTAACTGCTCTCTTTCCGTATTTCTCCGTATACTATCATATTTTGGACGATCGTATACGAAGAAATACAGAGTAAAACGAAAACCGTAGACGAGGTTTATTTGTCCATAAATGATCATATTCCTGTGCATACGATCATGAAGTTGTACGTTGGTAATATTGAGTCGTGTAATCATATTTTTCCGATTACGTGCGTGTCTATTTGACATACAGATAGTCCAAAAAATATCCAGACACTTATATATCTTGATTTACGAAGTAGAAACAAGAGATATTACTCTTCTTTTTTCGTCAGTAGATAGTTCCTACTTCATACTAGATTCTCTATAAAAATAAGCAATTTTGATTATCATCTGGAATTACAGAAAGGTTTTCTCACAAAAATGTCTGATTTTTCATTACGTCCAGAGCAAGACTGTTCTGCTTTTCATACAAAGGTGATCGTTTTTTTCGATATCAAAATTATATCATATGGACAACACTAGAACGAGAAAAACTAGCTCTATCTATTGACATGATTTTAAAAGTTAAAGTAATTTTTGTAGAAAAGTCTTGCTCTGAATGTACTGAAAAATCAGGCATTTTTGTAAGAAAAGCTTTCTGTAACTCGAGGTGATAATGAAAATTGCTTATTTTCGTAGAGAATCTAGTATGAAGTAAGGACTATCTACTAGCTAAAAAGAAAAAATAATATCCCTTGTTTCTGCTTCACAGACCAAGAAATACGTAAAAAACACGTAGGTGTCCGGATACTTTTTGGACTATATGTAGGTTAATATGGACAACTGCTTGCTGATACTTGGAAGAAATCGGATATGATGAAATGCGATAGCAACAAGTAGGGGTGCCCCGATAACCGAAAAGTAGGGGGATCGTATAATTTATCCAATACATGTACGTTCCTTTCTACAAAACGCAAGATGATCATTTTCCGCTGGGAAAAATCAGCTGTTCGATAGCAGATGGTCAAACGATTCCTTCAGACTAGCTGTCTGAGCGCCGTTGCAATCGATGTATTAATTTAAGCCGAGAAACAAAAAAGTAAAACTGACCTACGAAAAATGGTCAAAATCATGGAAGAATTGCTGAAAATTAAAAAAAACAAAGAGGATACCTTCTCACATACGCAGCCGTCCGAAAAAAAGCAACAAAAAGTAAAAATGACATTTAATGAATTCTGGGTGTGGGTGTCGGTGGATGTGAGTGTGTGTTAGTAGAGATATGATCAACCCGCACCCACACTCACACCCTCCCACACCCACACCCGCACCCACCCACACCCACACGCACACCCTGTCGGCATAATAAGAACTTCTAATGCAAGATATATATGAAAAAAGTTCTTTTTTGAAACTGATATAACTTGAAATCAAGAAAATCTGATTCCTCCATCAATGATAATACTCTGTCCAGTCATATAATCAGAATCTCTGCTAGCCAAGTATGACACCAAGCTTGCAACATCTTCAGGCTGACTTATACGGCCAAGAGCGATCACATTGTCTGAGTAATTTTTGTAGATCTCTCCTTTTTTCTTTCCTTGGGTTTTTGCTATTTCTTCGTCAACCATATTTCCCATCACAGTTTGGACAAGTCCTGTATTGTTTGTTAGATTCATATTTTAGAAAAAAATCGGTATAAAACATACCTGGACAATAAGCATTTACTGTGATCTTGTGTTTAGCCCATTCCATAGCAGCAGCTTGTGTGAGACCACGCACACCCCATTTACTGGCACAATAATGACTAACCATTGGACCTGATGTATATCCACCGATACTACAGGCACCAATAATTTTGCCTCCCGTACCTTGTGCAATCATGACTTTGGCAGCCTCTTTGTAGCAAAGAAATACACCTCGCAAGTTAACTGCAAATATCTTGTCCCACTCTTCTGTAGTAATATCAAGAATCGGTTTCAGTTGGAAAATTCCTGCATTAGCGACTACGACCTGTATTATTACTCATAGAAAAATTGAAATAATCGCAAAAGAAGAGATGCCTACATCCAAACTGCCCAGTTGTTTTGTAGTATTCTGTATCATTGTTTCAACTGCTTTGTCAACAGAAACATCAGCAGTGATAGCGACAGATTTTCGACCCATTTTTTCGATTTCTTGTTGTGTCTTGTTAAGATCTGAAGAACTTGCTTTGATATCATTGACAGCAACATTGAGACCATCCCTAGCAAGGCGGAGGGCTATGGCACGCCCAATCCCTCGAGCAGCACCAGTAACGAGAGCGTTACGAGACATCTTAAACAATAAAAACTGAGAAAGATTTCATTGTTCTATTGCAGGATAATAATGTGAAACTCTACATATACAGAGTAACGTGGTTTTTAAGAGTCGAAAGCAACATTTCTTCTAGCTAGTAGCCTACACTTTAGAAGTACTTTACCATTACTTAAAAGTGAGTTTGTTACTATAGAAAGGGAAGCGAAACAGTTAGTAGGAACCAAAAGCTGCTCACATGTGCAGTTGAATGCACTAATACTATATCACCACCTTTTTTTATAACAAGTAAGCGTATACTGAAGCTTCGATGGTGGAAAGATACGGAATATTTTGACTTATAAGTTGTTATCTTTGTTTGTGTTTTTTTTATCTTATGGTTTGTGAAATAAAAAATTGTAGAGGTGGGTTTTTGTAATCAAGCAAGCTTTCTTTTTTGTTACAACGTAAAACATTGTTGCGTCGCTTTAATAGTCTGTTGCAGTACATCCATATTCAGATTTCCCAAAACTTTCATTATTCCCGAAATTCCACATCTTTTAAAAGTGGGTGCTTTATTTTGCTTTACTAGTTTTGAACCTATGCAAATTACAGAAAGTTCGATAGTTTTGTTTTTCTGAAGACTTGTATCTTTTTCATTCCATTTTACTTCCGAAGATTAACAAAAAATTTAGTGCAGTTTTTACCTAGATCTGACTAGGTTTCCAGTACAAAATTCGAGTGAGTCAATTGAAGTTTCTATCCACTTCCATTTTTTTGAACTCTCTTTTTTGCACTGGAATATAATGTAGAAAAACAAATAAATAAATAATCAAAAGACTCATTTTTTCCTTACTACAACATGTGAATGCTACAACAGAACAAATGAAGAATCTTTGAGATATCTTTTCTGAACTAGTGTGAACGAACTGGAGCAGTATTCTTCATTCATACTATGCATGTAGTGAAAGAAATGATATTGAACTGGTTCTTTTGTCCTACTGTGATAATACTTGCTTCAATTCACTGTCTAGTTCTAGCACTCGTTATCGACAATCTTTTAATCATTAGTTGATGTGTTTGAATGACATTCAATATCGGATCTATGAGAAAAACTTCCTACTAGGACTCTCATTATGTAATATTGGGTATTGTGTACATGTATGAGCGGCTATGGGCATCGAGGTTATGCAGGGTATTCTTGCTATCGAAGTATTTTAGTAGGTGAAGCAATACTACTGATTTACATTTTTTCATTGGATATTTCGATCACTTTATTCGGTTATTTTCAACAAACTCACAATCAAACAATAATAAAATGACCTATATATACATACCTTAGAAATCTGTACGAAATGGTTGAGCGTGGGTATGGGTGGCTATGGAGGGATGGGTGGGGTGTGAATTTCATCTCTGCACACATACCCATACCATACCCACACTCGCACCCAACCACATCCCACACCACACCTCCACAGTTCCACCCTCACACCTCATACCCTACACCCAAATCCCGAAAAATCTACTCATGCTCAGAAAAAAACTTTGAATACCGATCGTGCAGTCTCAACAGTCGTCTACAAAATGTACCATTCAGCTTTGAAAACCGTTGTCTCAGTTGCGAGTCTTTTTTAAACCAAAGTGAATGCAGTGAAAATTGATCTCCTTTTTTAGGTTACTTCGCTAACACTAGGCTTTTTTTTACGATACCTCCTTTCAGCAAAGATCTCTAGGGTAATTTCTTCAATGTATAGAGAATAACTTAAGATACACATGGTGTAAAAAAAAAAAACTTAGCTGCAGTCAAGTTCATTTTTCAATACTATACTTATGTTTAATTTTACAAAATCAAGTCGCTAACAAATGATTTTGCTCATATTTTCTTTCATATAGCAACTTTTTCAAAAGACAGAAGATTTATCAACAAGATCGACAGACTTCATTCGAGTGAAATGAAAATCTGTGGTGAGAACTTTGGTCGTCATATTTTAGTTTATTTTCGAAAGGGAAAGGACAGAATGACTAAAGAAAGGTAAAATAAACTCTAGGTCAAAAAACTGTTGTGCACTCAAATGAAAGTGTGTGGATTCTTTTTCTTTCTCAATGTAAAGGAAACATTATTCTCTTTCAGACAACATATTGTATCGATTGTCTTTTTCTTTCTAAAGCAAGAGTAGCATTATCTTGTAATTATTTTATTGTATTTCACGCATGATTTTATTCGAAAAGAAAATCGAGAAGATAAAATAAAAAAAATTGAAATAGAGTTTCTATTGGTAAATAAAAGTTCATTCCAACTTTCGGATTAGTCTTACTACAATGAGTTTTTCGAATGAAGTAGACATTTTTCATCGCATAAAAATGTCTGAAAACATCCATTACTAGACATCTAAGACCTGAATTCAGAGTGTATATTTGACCCTATCGCTTATGTAACTGTAAATTTCTATCAAAATAATGAACATAACATTTCGTTCATTGGTCTGCGTTCTTAAACTTTAAAAAAAAATTTTATCCACCAATAAAAACATACAGAGAAAAAGTAAATCTTGTCAGAAATCAATTTATCCTAAAGTGTGCTAATCGTCTAAGGATCTTTGAATAGCAATGGCAAGTGATTCATCATCCGTCATATTCATCATATTTGGCTGTTGAAAGAGTTCTCTCAAAGTTAAATTTTGATCAGGAGTATTTCGACAAATGTCAATGAGAAATTTCAACGAGTCTTTTTCTTTTTCGTTCGCACGTTGTTGCATTTCGGGTCCATCCGGATGATGATCAATCACTCGTCGTCGTTCAAAGGCTGCAACAGAATCATTATACCAATATGCATATGTCGATTGCAGACTACTGTATAATGTCGTCGGATTTAAATATTGATGAATAACATTTTGATAATTTTGGAAATCTTCCATATTACACTGTGCACCTTGTTGCGATAGTAAAGTGTTAGATGAAATATTTTCATTCATAGTTGTAAGAACAATACCAATACTGAATAAACCTTCTACAAAATCAACAACACTTTCTACATTTACAGTTTCACCCCAAATTGGTTCTGCAGATAGGATATCTGTTAAAAATATTTCCCGAAATTTTTTCCAATTTTCATAATTTCCATCCAATCCACGTAATGTGTTGAGAATAGTCAATGTTTCACTCATATCAATTTCATCATCGTCAATGGTTATTTGTGATGATTCTAAACTAATCCATTGTCGTTTAAGTTGTTGATAATCATAAAGAGCACAAATAATATCATTCGTTTTTAATTGACTGAGAAAATTAGCAATATTCTCATGATATTTATTTCGATAGAATTGTTGGCCAGTAGCAGAAAACATTTCTATCTTGTGAATCTCGTTTATATTTACTTTTAATAAAATTTCTCGAGCAGTTCGTATTGAATCAGCAGAATACGGTCCGAGTATGTTCACATTGGGAATAATATAGTGTGGACAATCTTGTTTCTCCAATAGATCGATAGCATATTGACGCCATTTTTGTGCTAATATTTCTTCAGTATCTGAAGAAAGATCCATTGTTTCACACATCCATAGTACTGTTGTTTTGATAAAATATGATGGTAGAACTTTTTGTTCTTTTAAAAATTTGAAATAGATACTTCGTGCAATTCCATTTAGAATTCGTTCTTTTATCGAACGTTGTTGAGCAAGTATTAATTCAATAGCAGAAAATGAATAACGAAATTCTAGTTCTCTATCACATGCCGGTGTTTTTGTTGACCATTTTGGTATGACATGCATCGATGTTTTATTTATAATTAAATGATAAATATTCGGACGATTTTGTTTTATTCGTTCGAAAAATGGTTGAATATCGTTTGGCCAACATTTCAATTGAAGTGATGGAACAAAATCAGCATCGATTGGTGCACATGATTTAAAATAATTTGCTACATCTGTGATATTATCCGGATTACCCATATGTGCATATTTATCATAGAAATCGAGAATAGTTTGAATACGAACCAGATTTACTTGTGGTAAACTATATCCATAGGCAGGACCTACTAAAGTGAAAAGATCACGAAATGTTTGTTCATTGATATGTTTTTCTTCAAACATCGATTGATTGTATGGTGTTCGATATAATGGTAAAGCATATTGAGATATCGATTGACATACACCTTGACTAAATAGTTTATAGTTCATTCGAATCGTATCAAAATTCAGTTGATTACGTTGTTGTTCAACATTGATGAGTGCATCGTGAAATTGCTTGCTGATATCAATTGTTTTATATTCTAGAGTTTGTGTTGCAGCAGCGCAAGATGCATCGGGTGATGTTTCACCCTTTCGAGTCACAGCGCATAGAGGAGCACCAATTTGTGTTTCACTTGTACAATGTTCTTTTTTCAGTTGAAATCCATTGAGACACCGAATACCGTTCGCATCATCTTGAGATATAAATTGAATACTTCCCGTAGATTCAATTCCATCATCAAATTTGATTCGAACAAATCCTGGGACACCTGTTTGAATGACATTTTGTTCATATTTGACAATACCACAATGAATAAGAATGTCAATGTCTTGAATATTCTGGTTGGCCATATGACGTGTATAAGTTTGACCCTCGACCGTACTCCCCGATAAAAGGGATAGACATCCACTAGTATCTGTTGTCGTCATGTCCATCAGTATTTTTTCCTAACTGGTATAAAAAATGAATAGTAGTTTGTATTTAATACTCGCCTGTGTGTTGGTAAAAGGGTCGTATGGGAAAAAAGAAAAAATAATAAATCTTGAATGCCATGGTTCTTAATCGCTACCGTTATATTGCGAGCGAAACAGGATGTGGGTATGGGTGTGGCTATTCACTTCAATTAAGTCAAGTTCCACATCCACACTCACACCGGTACTCACACTCTTCATGCTTATGTGAGTGAGAATGATGAATCTTCATATTAGGGGATGGTCTGTGGAATGGGTGTTTATTTTGGGTGCGCACGATGGTTGTTAGTAGTTGGCTTGATCTCGAGCGACAGGTTGAGTGAAGGCAAGGACGAGTCTTAGTAAAACGGAGCTTCATATTGGGTATTGATTTCGATGAAGATTTTTATATTAATTGCGACGTGGGTGATGGATCTTGATGGTATATGATAGACTGAGTGATCGCTCTTGATGTTGGGTGTGTACTGAAATGGCGTTGGTGCTGAGTAAGATACCGAGCATTCCGGGTGGTGGGGTGGAGATGGGTGAGGATTCTGGGTGGATAATTTGGTGGTGAATCCGTGATGGGTCTGAAAATATCTACTGGTATTAAAATAATGAAATCAAGAATAGTGGTCGGAACTGTAACTAGGGCCACTTCACACTTTCATCACTGAATATGATGAGAAAGATATAGTGTGGTACTTTATAGAACTCGAAAGTGTCTATTAAAAGGTGTATAATTCGTGAACTTGCTTCAACAAGCTCAAGTCGAGCTCCACATAAATCTACTCTAAAATTCTATACTTCAGTCTTTTCTAATAATATACTTTGTTTGTGATGAATGGATATGAAGCTGACTGTCGGGATGCGACAATTCGATGATAGTTCGAGTTTTAGAACACTTCATGATCAAGAAAAGATATGAGGCTGTGTTGAGTATAGAGACAATAGAATGAGTATCAGAGTGGAGATCTGTTTGAATGCGTAGATACAAGATTACTCCATGATTATATACTCAGCCAAGGATCGAAACAAACAAATAAATCTTGGATGAATTAATAGACATCATCCACCTTTTGACGAAGAGGAAATTCGGAATGTGAAACTATGAAAGAAGTATATCAAATGAAAGCTTGTTTAGTGTTGTCTACAGACAAATTTTAAAATAGTGCTTTTCCATAATATTTTACGGAATTCGGTGAATTTTCTACTTGGTACCATGTTACAACATATTCGATTCCTCTGTAGTATGAACCTGATAAATTCAATGTTCGCTGGAAATTGAAGACTGACGTTATTATCTATGATGACTTCTCAAGTAGTTACGATTTACAATGATAGCCATATTGCGCAAATAGAAAACTTATTGATGTATTCTGTTCGATTTCTAAGTTATTCTGTAAGACAGTTTAATTTACCTATAGAATTTTTTATATTAACTATGAACTGTGATATTCGACAGTGTTTCAAATTTCTTTATACCTGACGACTTTCATGAAATATTGAGCACTTACCGATAAACTAGAATATATTGTATAACTTGAAAAAAACTACTCACAATTGGTGTTTACCAACAGCATGAAAGAGTAAAAAATGACTGACTGCATCAGTTTGCAGCATGAAAAGATTCATTCGCTCTTTTCTTCTGTTTTTTTTCTTGGCTTGCAAAACAATTGTACCATACTTGAAAATTTTGTTTATTCTTATACCAATAAACGGTCGGAAGCAGGAGAAAACAGAAATGGCTGAAGGCGAAATCAATTGCTTAGTATTTTTAATGAACGAGAGTAGATGAAAAACAAATATTTGATTTGAGTCAATATTTTTCGCTGTCTTATTCATTGCAATACTACATGATGTTCAAATTTGCTTTCGAGTAAAAACAGTATTATTTTATGCAACTGAACGGGAAAGGATCTGCAACCTACGTCGAACATTGCTTTTAGAAATGAATGTTGACTGTGTTTCTACAATTAGACGAGGATGTGGGTGTGGGTGTCGGTGTGAGTGTTTGTTTTCCTTCCACCCACACCCACCTCTTCGTATTCACCGACTATCAAACTTGTCATTCAACCAAGCACGAACTGTCTTCGTGAAAATGAAGTTAGTGCTCCATCTGTATGACGAATATTGTCTTCCAACAACTCATAGCTGATCATGTGTAGAGGATAGTTCTTTCTTTTATAAACCATACGTGACTAATCAAATATATACCCATTTTCAATAAAACTAAATGTCGATTAACTTACAGTTAAGAATTGAAATTGTAGTCATGATGACTAAGTGGAGAATATCCATCATTAGTCAGACGACATTTTCAAAACGAAAATCTGCCTGATATTCCTACAGAGGAGACCATCAAAACTATCTATAATAAATTTTTTCACACTGGTTCCGCACATGATCGTGAATTTTTGTATTTCAATTAAATGTAATACCTTGGTAAAGTACTTTTTATGTTCGTTCATATCAGTGAAAACTTGGTGTATTTACCTATCATTTGAAAAAAAAGTTGATATATTCAAATCAAATAGCAAAGATATATGAAAAATTTAAGTGGGAGGGATTTTTGCGACACTCGGTATATATAATGTCGATTGTCTGTGTGCTCTTACCGGGTGAAAGATTGAAGGTTTGAGGTTATATGTTAAAGAAAAAAATCAGCTATGCAGCATGCACAGATTACTGCTACTTATTATATAATGATACAGAAATTAAACCGAATACGATTGTCGTAAGTGCATATAAAAAAGAAATGTACGAGAGAGATTGATATTTTCTATCTAAAATGATGCTAGTTTTTTTGAGAACCTTTTTCAAAACAAAATCATATCATTTTAATTCACTCATCTTCTCTACTATCACATCAGTCATTGTGAGATACAGAAGGTGTGGGTGTAGAAAACATTAATTCAAATGTTAATCATTAGATATTTTATCGTTCTTCGATTAAAAGAAAATCTTAAAAACAAACAAAAATGAACAATGTGTTAATGAACTTTGATCTTTTATCAATAATAAAACAATATAAAACATTTCCATTCAATTAACAAGTAAATTAAATTATGATTTCTATTGTTGAATCAGAGGTTGACAAAATGAATTCATATTTTCTGATCCTTGAACTTCATCAACAAATACAGGTAATTTAAGAAAATAAGAATCTTTATAAACATGATCAACCTTCATTAAAAATATTCTTTATCCAATTTATTTTCGTTGAAGATGCTTTCTTGATGCATATCTGGTACATGAATTTCGGATTTCTTCTGGCATTCACATACATAAACCTTTATTAAGAATAAATAAATATGTATTAATATAAGATTTAGCCAACTACTGAACTAATCCTTCACTTTCATACGATGATGAACATTCTTGAATACGAATATAAACGAATGTTATTGAATACTTTTCAAATAAAAAATAATAAAAATTAATTTTTAATACAAAGATATTCCTTTTGACATCATCTTATGCATGTCGAACACTTAGGAAATCTCTTTTTAGTATTCATAATTTAATTTTTGGTCAAAAAACTTTTTTTTATTGAATGTGTAAGAATAGGCCTAACGTTAGACAAGTCAGTCAATTCATAGATCCTTTGAATATATTTTTCAAATATCTGAATCATTTTTATTAACTGTATACTGTTCAATAGGACATTCGAAGATTTATACTGACTAGTATCATGTAGATTTTACCATTTAACATTTTTTGACTGTAAACCTAAAAAGTAAAGATACTATCCACGTGGAGTTTCTATGCTGTACTTGAAGATGAAAGTTTATAGCTAAAATTAGAGCTCTTGACAGTGAAATCTCTTCAACTGGTTATTTAAAATTATCCAATCATGGTGCAGCTGACCTCTTTCTGTTTAGAGTCATCGTTTTGAGTGAATCAGTGACATGTATGCATCATAGCAGAGTAACTGACATCACATGCGAGAGACGTTGTGCAATAACCCTTTTTTGCTTATAAAAGGAGAAAGTTGATGAATAACTGTGATACAATTGGAAAATAACACTTCTTTCAACTTAGCACACAACATTACTTCAAAATGTCTTCGTCGAACAAGAAAACGAAAGTGATTATCGATTTGAACAAAATATTAAATTCGAACGATTCCGCTGAAATAAAACTAATGGAAACTGAATTCGAATTGAATGGTTGGTGTTTCGTCTTCTTACCAGCGGAACTCGTTCCAAATGCAAACTTAACCATGGAGCTCTCCAAATTTTTTGAGTCTGGTAATGCAAAGCATAGGTATTCGCAGCGCTCTATGATATACGGTTATTCTAAATTGGATCATAAGGAAGGAATTAAACTACTGACTGGAAGTTATTTTAGCCAATTTGCAAATAAAAGTTTGGTACCAAGAACACTTGTTGAACCGTTGAACTATCTTTCTCAAGTATTAGATGCAGTGACAAAACGTTTAATCGAAATTCTTGATCAACATTCAATATTTCAGAGAGAACCGTCTTTATCCACTCTCATCGAACGTGCCGAACTTCCATTAAAAGAAGAACATTTTGGTATGCTCGACATTGTATCTTATTTCAACACTAAAAGTGGATTCCAACCTCCAAAAAATGGACAAACAACCGAAGAAGTCAATTGTGTTCCACATTATGATCCAGGCCTACTTTCAATAAGTATTTTATCGACGCACGAAGGACTTCAATTGAAAGACATGATGAATGATGAATGGATAGACGGGCCATTAGAGCCCAACATTGGTGTCATCTGGTTAGGAGAAGTGGCATCTCGAATAACAGAAAATCGACTCAAACCAGGTGTCCATAGAGTCATTTATCCTCAAGAATCGAAAAATCGACTGACAATCTGGTATGAAGTGTGCACGATAGGACAGTTGAAAAATTTAAGTACTAAGAAGAAAGATGAACTAATGGCTGGTGGGAGAGTTACGTTTGACAATATTCCTGGATTCGTACCAATAACTGTTTTACCTGGTGAAACAAAACTGGACTTTTTAAAACGAGTTGAAATGGGAAATGGCTTATCGATGAGTAAAACAGGCCGACTACGCTATGTACTTGAAAAGCATGATATTTCGTATCCAACAAATGGTTTTAAAACTGAATAAACAACAGTTTCCTGCATGGGATAAACTTTTCACCGATATGCAGCGTTCCATTTACAAGATCTAACTATCAATGAAGAGGAACGTAGCTAACATTGTTCACACTTTGAACATTGTAACAGTATATTTATTACTCGATGTTAAACCTGAATAACGAATATTATTTCATAAAAATTTTAATATAAACAGAAGGAAAACGATTTTTATATTAGGAAAAGGATGTGGGAAGAAAGGACAGCTACAGTCATGTCCGCACCCCCCACCAATACCCGATTCATATACACTCGCTCCTTTTTCTCGTCTCTTACAAAATCCATTATCATGGATTTCTTAAGACTAATATGAAAGCTAACGTAAGTGGCTAGTCTTGATGACTTTGACTTAATTACGCATCATCAATATTTTTTTTGTTCATAAAAAACCAAAATCCAAATGATCGTGGACAACTGTAAGGTTATGAAAAATAATTTTCAAGTCATTGATGACGAAGAATATTGTGCCACATTTATATTTTTTGGTTGACATATCAATAATCATGTCAGTTATGCATCCATGCTAATTGGTGTCGTTTGGATGAGTTTCTCGAATGAAGCATTAGCCACTTTCAGCCATCACTTAGTCTTTTACTCGGGATATTCTTCGTTTTTATTGATTCATCATATGTCTTTATCATCGATGTATGAAGCGAATATAATAAAAGGTTCGATTGAGCTACTTGACTTAGTATTTTTTTTCTGAAAAAAACCCTAAGAGAATAAAAGTTCAAAAGCGATTTATGTTTGTTATTGGTCTGACCCGATTGTTGCTGCTTATTAGAAATCCAGATGCTAAATTAAGACACTCCGCACCACTTTATCGAAAGTTTAGCGTAATACGGAAGAGAATAATAATCGGAAAAACGAACGCTAGATTTTCAATCATGAATACGATGTGCATACAATTATGAGGTATAATATCGAAATGAACTAGGGTGTGGGTGTAGAGAAGATGCACACTTACCCACCCACATCCTCTGTGGACAGAATTTCAGCTCGAAATTCGATCATTCAAATTCTCAGAGACTCTATGCTCATCAAACAAAAATCGAATGAAATGCCTAGAACTCAAATAGCGAATACCGAAAAACCAAATGAAAACAGACTTTTTTTTACTGCTTATCGTGACCGATGAAATGGTAATAGCTTCAAGCGAAAAGCGATTGGGCAGTTGGAAACGTCCTCTCATCAGACATAAAGATCATCAATTATGATCGATTATACACGAGACTTTTACATATCGTATAGTATACAAGAACCTTTCTGCACTCTATTTGGTGTAAATGAACAAATGATTTTTTTGTCAGACAAATAAAATACAAATATCTGTCATTACATTTATTTAAAATCACACAAACAAAAAAAAAACAAACAGACAACCGGGTTATTTTTAAATGTCAAATAATAATAGTAATAATAATCAAATTTAGTCAATCTGTTGATAATTATCAGATTTTATTGTCAATAATTGTTGTTGTTGTTGTTTTTGACTTAATAAATGATTTAATTGATAAAATGAAGGTCGATCATAATCACATTTATTCCAACATGATAATATTAAATCCATTAAATCATCTGCATATGATGGAATAATTAAACAATGATTAGAATTTCGTAAATTAAAAAGAACTTGTTCATCATCAAATAAACTATGTGGTCGTTCAGCCATGGTTAATATTTCCCAAAGAAGAACACCAAATGAAAAAACATCCGATTTTGATGTAAATCGATTCTATAGACAAAATAAATTCATTTTTTCTCAGAAAAATAATAAAAGATTTTGTTTTTGATCTTACTAAACAAATTGTTTCCCAAGCACACCATCGAATAGGTCTTCGTGTTTGTATTTCATCTCCAACTGTTACTAATACATAATCATCTGCATAGATTTCATTACACATAGCTAAATCATGTAATTTAATATTAAGATCAATTGAAATTAAACAATTTCGTGCAGCTATATCACGATGATAAATATGTAAAGATTCCAAATAAGTTAAAGCTGATGAAATTTGAGTAGCAAAGAATACTGTTGTAGTATAGAGATTAGTTTCCATTGGTTGTTCTTGTTTATAATTTTGAAGATACTTATAAAGATCTATTGTTGATATATCAGATGATTCAATTAATAAAGATATACTTGGTTCAGAACAAAATCCATATGCATGAATAATATTTGGATGACAAAGTAATGTTAAAAGACTTATTTCATTAAAAAATGAAATTCTAAATAATATAATCAAATTTTTTAAAATAATTACACAAAAATTTTGTCTTTACTTTGATTGTATTGATGCATTTGGAAGAAGACGTCGAATAGTTATTGGTATTAATGATTGCTTTACTTGTAATTCACCGTGACAAATCTTAATATAAAGCAGATTTACTCATAGTATCCATTTATACATTTATGATTTATGCTCAGAAATAAACGAAAAGAAATTCACAATTGTATTTTAGTTGCTCAAATCAATTTATAGGAAATTGTAATTTTCAAGATTATCTAAATAAGCTGATAAACGTTCCACTACGCATTGAAATTTATATACTTATGGACTGTTACTAATAGAGCCCGTTAGGTCCAAAAAGTTTCCAGGTCGGGAGTCGACGGATTCTAGTCACTAATTAGAGAACTACCCTCGCTTCCACCCACCGATTAAGTCTATAAAGAAGTCTCGGTAAGACTAGAAAAAGCCTAAAAGAGTTCGTCCCCATTGTTGTCTTCAAATGTCCATGGAGACGAACTCTTGTAGACTGTTTCTAGTCTTACGGAAACCTTCTTGTAGACCTACTTTCCTTTGTCGGTTGAGAATAACTACTCCAAAAAGATCTCTTTCCGAAAAAAAAAGAACAATTCATATAAATGATTCAAACAAAATGCGATTGTTATTATCTTCTATGAATTTTTCTATTTATAATATTTACCTCTCCGCCACCAAGAATTTGATGTCGATTATGTATTCGATGTTTTATATTAATTTTATGACTTGGTATAAATTGATTTTGATTTAAATCAAATGTAAATAATCTTTGTGTACTATATGAACTATTACCACAAACACTTTCTATATGATATTGTAAACTTTTCGATGGTGATCGTAATAAACTTGTTGTTGACATTAATTTCGAATAATGAGAAGATGATATATTTCCATTAGTATAAATAAGATATGGATGAGTTGATCCAATAGTTGCATAACGATGATGTGTTGAACCAATATCAATTTCACTTGATGTTGTTGATGCTAATGATTCAGAATGATTATGAATTGGTGTAAAATAAGTTTTTTTATTATTTAAACTTTTATTGAATCGACATCGAATAAGACTTATGATTAATGCAAATATTAAAATAATTATTATAGTTGATATACAAATAATAATATTATTCATTGAAAAATGAATTGATTGTGATCGTTGTTGTTGTTGTTGTTGTTGTTGTGGAATTGTTAAATTGGTTGATACAATAAATGAATCAAAAGTAATTTCACTAATTAAAATCCAATTTCCATGAAAATATAAATGAATTTTTAATTGTGAAGCAATATGATATTTTAAATCAATCATGATTGGTCGAGCCATTTCAAATTGATCATCATGTTGATGATTATATGTTATCAATGATGAACTGTTATTATTATTATTTATAAATTCAATTATTACTGAACGAAATACATAAATTTTTTTTGGATAATAATTATTTGCATGTATTGTTATACGAGAAAAATTTCTTAATGTATCAAATTTAAATAATATTTCAATTGAATGATTATGTTTTATAGAACGTGGTTTTCGCCAACCAACCTTTAAAGAAAAAAAAGCTGTTAGTACAATCCTTACGAGATTAAAATGTGAAATATAATGTAACTGTTGTTGTTAATCACAAGTAGATAGTATTATTAGCAATCTGACTTCGGAAAACTAACACATGTGTATCTCAGGATAATGAACTTTCCTAGAGCTAATCTATATATATAATGTTCGGTGTGTGTCAATGTGTTTCTCTGTGTCGGATTAAGGGTCAAATAAGACTATAAGAAGGAGGGTTCCAAGGGCTATTATATGGAGGCGCTCATGAGCCCTCAAGGGTTATTCTATGGGGATACCCATAAGCCCTCAAGAGTTATTATATTGGGAAACCTATAGGTCCTCAAAGGCTGTCCTATGGGGATATCCCATAGTCTTTCAAGGACTACAATATAGGGGTACCCATAGGCTCTGAAGGAAGGAAGGCAATAAGGGGATAATGCTACAAGAGCTACAAATGGATATAAGACACAATGTGGGGTGTCTATATGGCATGAAAGGTTAAAGCTTTGAGGTTATATGTTAAAAGAAAAAATAGCCGTGCAGTATGCACGGGCTCACGCTTGTTTTTATATATTACATGTATGTTAAGTTATTCTAGATACTCTGAAAAAATCAGTGCTAAAGAACTTTATTCAGAGAAGTTATCACTAAAAAAACTGGCGTTAGAAACATAACACAAGAAACAGACATCAACTGCTACTTCATGGATTTCAATTTAAAAAAAAACTTCGAATTGAGGTAAAACTACATACTGTAGAGAACTCCTTAGGCTACAAAATCTCTTTTCTTCTGAGTATGTCTAAATTTTTCGTTGGGATTCAGAAATTTTTGCCAATAGAACTTTCATCATTGCTGAATGTCGGTTTGTACGAAACTCTGACCATCCAGATACGGATTCGTGTCCATAGAGTCTATTCTGAACTTTTGTTGATTTGTTTCCTAGCATCGTTAGAGAAATATGATTATCTTTGATTACCGTGTGTCACGATCTGTGAGGAAAGAGGAATCGAAATTTTTACCACTATACTTCAGCACTTCTTTTAGATCGTATTTCACAAAACAATATTTTGTTCAACAAAAAGAAATAAAGATAATTTAATTTTTACCCATTGAAAACCATGTGGATCTTCATGATCATCAGGTCCTGTTTGTCCATCA